AATTTCATTTGTACAGAGATATACTTACTGAATAACTTCCAATGTATAATTGGGACAACACTGGACTTATAGAGAGTACCCTGTGGTCTTGTGACCGCTTTCCTACTAGAAGTGACAGGAGTAAGTGACATTATGGTGTAGCCAATTTCAGTAAAGGGTAACCATCTTTGCAAGTCCATGGGAGACTTGACAACCGTGTATGCCAATCGTTGTTCGAGTATTCTCATGCGCGGATATCCGGGCATTTTCACCGCCTGGCAACCATTGCGATGAAAACAAAGGCCGAAAACTATCAGAAAATGGTACTTTGGAATAGTTGTTCAGACTCCCCCGAATAGTGTAAACAGATTACGCCTATATATGCATCATATGTAAATTTGATTGTTCATGATTACTTCAAAGTTGAGTTTGTGCTGTTTTCTCGACTTTATCTGTTTTCACCGGCATTCCACAGCACGGTACAGTGGCGCTACCATTCACTATCATTGAAAACTTGTACTGAACCTTAACGCTCAAGAAGTAGACTGACCTGTATCCACGAGTCCCCTGTCCTTCTTCCTCGAGGTATCCATTAGCAGGGTTATGGATGGAGGTGATAGGTCGATCTACGATCCTTTCATTCATTGCAAGAGCGCATTTCATCGTATGTTTAAGACCCAAGCGATTACTCGTTCTTAATTTGCCTCTAACACTAGTTCATGAATCAGGCATACTCGGTAAGCTATTTGGGAAACAATTCCCTACATGGCAGTTATCATTCCCACAAAACTCACGAGTTCTCAGTTTGATTGTTGATTCGGCATGAAGTACATAGTCCAGGTGGTAGCCTAATTAGATCATGTAGCTTGTTGAACACCATACCCAAGAAAACTATCTCTTTTGATATTCAGAAAGCGCAAGATAGTAACTGTTTACGGTTGTCAGCACCGTCAGATTTAATTTCGCTGGATGAATGTGTTGCTATGGTATGAATACAAAGTAATCAGATTGTTCGTAGCAGTTCACAAAAGCTGGTTTTCTAATCAAACTGTCTGCTATGATGTACTGGTTAGGTTTGCCCAGGTCAGTATTAGGGTACAGTATACCACAAAAGTATAACTGACACTTTTGATTTTGAGACACCATTTTGGTATGGGGTACCCTTCAGTGTTCTTTTCTATTTTGGGAGCGTGTATTACTAATCTATTGGTAGTTTGATCAATCTCTCTATTAATTTGTTAAATTTCTGAAATGAACCAGCATACATCATTATAGACTGTTAACTACATCACTATGAGTACTAAAACCTGTCGCACTTTATCGGGTCTTGTCTTTCATTAGTTTTATCAATATTACGATGAAAGAGAACTTTCCATCTGGAAATGTTTCAATCCTCAACTCAAATAATTCTCACGAGCTTCCGCTATGACAGCTAGTAGGTTCATCACACAAACTATTAATAATAACAATTAGTTAGGCAAAACACATAAAACAACCCCTTTCCAATGCACAGTCCCCATTGTGTACCTATGCGCGAGTCAGAAATTAACATCAGAGTGAAAACCTGTATCTCACGGTTTTTTCACTATGGAGACACACGTGTTATGCATGTGACAATGAATGGTATTAAGTTTATAGCAAGGAAACACACGTCTAAAGCATACCATACATTATTAGTATAAAGGTTTATATTCATAATCATTGTGACCCGTATACAATGACCAAAACACATATTTGTGTTCACTCTCAAGACAATACAGGATAATTTAGCACTGTATACAGTTTATGGTACACATTTTTACATTGCTATTCCATAGCTTCGTCTGAACAATTCGGGATAGCATATTTATATCAACCAAATTGACAACAGATTTTTTTACGAAAACACAAAACTGCTCACCCGAGATGTAAGATTTAACAGAGTAACATCAATGAAGAAACTAGGATTTATACAGTGGCTTAAAATATGTGGTCAGCTCGGCCTCGGGCAAGGAGCAAACTGATTATTTAATCAGCTGTTACCTAGAAGACACCTGGCCTTTCCTCGCATCTAAATAGCATGTTTGGGTAAGGTTGGGAAACAAATTTAAACTTAATTAAAATTTATGACGGGCGAATAAACCCAAATGTATCTATTAAACCATATATCACAAATAATGTTACTCTCTCGTCATGAATACAATATTCTAACTTTTGTATTTAGTAATCTTTATTTCAACTATTACCTGTAAGAATACGAACACAAGAATTTGTAAGAATCTAACACAAACTAAAATCAAGAGTACATCATACCAATGTGTATCAATATTGATGCTGTATTGTCAATATTACATAACATGCAATGTAGACAGAATAGAGTCACACTTGGTAAGATTATACACATATTTATCCACATTTCAGAAAGTTTGAATAATAAATACACTAAAATATATACTATAATATACTATATATTGCAACACCAGTTATGATTAAAGACAAGATAATAAAACATAAAATGTATTGACCTGCCATGCCAAGCCACGTAGCATGGGTACATTTTAGAGACGCAACATAAGACAGATCCACAAAAATGCAATTGGTTGATGAAGAATTGGTTAAACCGGAGGTAGGCTGTGCCGAAGATATAGATATACTAGTATACAAATAAGCTATGTGAAGCGTAGAACACAGTAAAATGTAACAATCAATTTGTGTCAATCTGTTATGGTAAACAGTACATTATATATTACACTACAAATATCAAGAAATGCCCTGATAGAGTAAATCTGCAATTAACCACATCTACTTCACAAAGTTTCAATATAATCTGATGACATACATTATAAATTAAAGCGCGGTGGTCGTCGCGCAGCGCGTGTTCGAATTTCATGTAAATAAACAATGTATTTTACACGCGTTGTATACGTCGCTATGAGTCCCATATCGAACTGGACGCGGCACGACAACCGCCGCCCTTTAACAATGTGTTGAAAGGACGCAACACATCAGCAGATAGTAGTCATGCATTTAGGTTAGATTGTGAAAAACAGCAAAAACTATGCCAAGAAAATAACTACAGGTTTTATTATTCTCTACAATAGACAAAGGGTAAACAACTTACATGCGAATATTAAATAATTCCTACAAGACAAGTGGCACTTTCATAGCCACATTATTAACAATATCTCATGAATGGTGTATGAAGGAAACATCTTGTACATTATTGGCTGTTTCATGGGTATTTAGTTGTCAGGAAGATCAGACAAATATTATTGTAAAAGATAAAGTTAGCAATATAGCGACAAAGACAACAAAGGCATATTCAAATCGGAAAAGCTGGAAATGGTACATGGCTATCACTATCGTACCATTTCTGTATAAGATGATCTTATTTCTTATATAAATTACACTGTATACACTTTTTTTCATGTATCCTTTGCATGTGTTTTCATATGTGAATCCAGACCAGTTTTTTGTGTGTAACAGTTACCACATCGATCGCACTGGTAAGGCTTCTCACCAGTATGTATTCTCCTGTGTTTTACAAGGTTGTCGATCCAGCTGAATGATTTATCACATTCACTACATCGGTGTGGTTTCTCACCAGTGTGAACACGCCTATGTTTCTTGAGAGTACTTTTGAGGGTGAAAATCTTGTGACATTCTGCACACTGATAGTTTGTGTCTTTTCTATGTATCAACATATGTTGTTGGAGCCGACTTTTTACTCTACAAACATAACCACACTCGTTACATTGGAAAGGTTTCTCCCCAGTGTGTACTGTCTTGTGTTCAACAAGGGCTTTTCGTAAAGCAAAGCACCTGTGGCAAATATCACATTCAAATGGCTTCTCACCAGTGTGTAATCGTATGTGATGTGTTAAGCTACTTTTATCTTGATACTTCTTGCCGCATTTGTTACACTGGAATGGCTTCTCACCAGTGTGGGATCTTGAATGCTTTGTCAAGTTTCCTTGTGTTGTACACCCTTTACCACATACCTCACAAACATACGGTCTTTCATCACTATGAGTTCTCATGTGACATTCAAGGACACTTTTTTGCATGAACTTTCGATTGCATATTTCACATGCGTGTGCTTTTTCCCTTCCATATATTCTCATGTGGGCGGCAAGCTTGGGCTCCTCTGAAAACCCAGAGTTATACTTAACACATGGGACTGGTTCTTCACTGGTATGTGTCTTGAGATGCTCATTAAATAAATGGTTCTCACTAAAAGTTGCCCCACATTCTGTGCAGATGTATTGTTCTACTTCCATGTGCATCTTCCTATGCATATTCAGGTTGAATTCATCAGCAAATCTTTCATCACATTCTTTACAAACATAGAGTTTCTTTTCAGAATGTGTTCTTATATGTTTTTCCAAGTCATCTTTCCTGAAATAAGTTTTACAACAAATTGTACATTCATGTATTCTTGAAGGAAGATGTCCGAAACCCTCATCATATTTTTTAGGTGTTCTAGCTTTTCGTCGTGTACATGTTGCTGCATTAGTTTTCTCATCAAAGCATTGACCTTCTTTTTCCTCATCCAGCTCTTTACCTGTTCCAGCAGGAACAATTATATTCCATTTCTTCTCGAATGGACACTCATTACCTTGGCCTGCAGTATGTGTTTCCATGTTGAAACTATTGATTTTCTTTCCATCAATGCAAGTGCTACCGACATTTTTATCAAAATCATTATGATCAGTTATGCACGAATCTACTTTGTCACTGTATACGGTTCCTGTTTGGACAATTGTGTTCACATTTTTCTGAATGTCCAGGTCTTCGCTAATATCTTGGTGTACATGAGCTTTTTCATCTATATTTGTATTCATGCCAAAATAAAGAGGTGCTTTCGATTTAGTAGAGCTATGACCTTCTGTACTACTGCCACAACTCTCTGTGTAGCTGTGTCTGTTATCTTCACACTGGTCAGGCATTTCTATTACACATATATCAGCAATTCCAGTCCCATCTAAACACTGGCTTCCCTCTCTATGTTGGTAAGACTTTTCATCATGGTAAGCACTTGCATTTTCATGCATATCACACAACCTTCCATCTTCAAGACAGTCTAATGTTTTCTTTGACAAGCTCATTCTGTTTTAAAATCTCATCTAAAATGTTCAATGTTGAAATAAACTACTACTGGTCATGTTTCTTTGATCTTTGTAGCAATCAAACATGGATGCTATATTGCATGAAGAAATATTCCAGACCTCCAATGCCGTTCACAAGTGTTATTTGTTTTCCAGATGTTGACAGTTATCTCGTTATCCTGTGTGCATTGTAGAAAAAGAAAAAAGAACAATATATGATTTTCAAACAGAAAACTTTATCATTTCAAAGCATGCAACAAACGAGTAGCTTGCCCTCTTATATAGATCCGCTATACCGGTATTTGAAAGCAATTATTTTAATCCCCTGCTCAGAGAAAGTTGGATTATACCAACTTACAAATACAAGCAGCCTGTCGGCTGAGATACCTCCACTGTTAGCAATGCACATTGCAATTAAAGAACAGAAGATATCATTAGAAAATGATGAACAATATGTATAGTATCAAAGCAATCAAACTTGCTGTTTTCAACAAGAACTCAAAACTATCACTTTTCACCAAAAATGACAAAATATTCATCGAAATTAGATAATTGAAGATATCACCACAAAATGAACAAATCTGAGAGAGGTCCACATGTAGTACCTATACATTTAATATCAAAGCAATTGGACTTGCGGTTTTCAACAAGAAGTCGAAAATATCACTTTTTACCAAAAATATTCATCAAAATTAGAGAATTAAAGATATCATCACAAAATGAACAAATCTGAGAGAGGTCCACATGTAGTACCTATATATGTAATATCAAATCAATTGGACTGCAGTTTTCAACAAGAAGTCGAAAATATCACTTTTTACCCAAAATTACAAAAATATTCACCAAAATTAGAGAATTGAAGATATCAACATGAAATGAACAAATCTAAGAGAGGTCTACCCAAGGCACATATACACCGAGTATCAAAGCATTCAGGCTTGTAGTTTTCAAGAAGAAGTCGAAAGAGTAAAACATTGACACGGTCGACGGACGCCGACGGACAATCACTCATACGATAAGCTCCGCTCGACAAAGTCGACAGCGGAGCTAATAATATCAAGGGAATGGTGCTAGCTATTAGTTGAAGTAGTTGGCATCTATTTTTAGTACAACTGTATGTTAGCATGCTTAGAATTACATGACGCTCCCACCCCACCGTACCCCACCCCTTTAGCCACAGTCTTTTGAATAATGTTGTAGACTGACAAACTTCAGATGACAGTGGAACAACAAATTTAAGGTAAATTCTTTTGGTTACTATGGGCATGATTGCTATGATATGAATACAAACAATTATTATCCATGTTGTTGACATGTATTGTCATTGTTGATGACATAGTCCCTGTTAGGTTTTTTAGTCCCTGCCCAGGCCCAGGCATGCCTGAGAAACATGCAGGATATTACGCCATATTATAAAGCGCTTTATATTAAGCAGATGATTTGGTGATAATTTACAAAAAAATTGAACACTACTGTCAAAAATGAAAAATTCCAAAAAATGTAATTTTCAGTCTAAACCAGCTTTGAGAAAATTTGAAAAATTTCATTTTGAAGAACAACAAACCAGTTTTTGTCAACTCATACCTTGATCCATTAATCCAATGAAATATAAATGAAAATGAGACAATATGGCAGATAAAGCTGCTTGCATTGCAATTTAAGGGACCTTGCCAAGAGAGACAGAAATTTCATACACATTTTTAATACTTGTACTAGTAGGTGGAAGGGCGGTGGTCGTCATGCCGCATCCTGTTTGATATGGGACTCAATGACGTACACAACGCGCGTGAAATACATTATTTGTTTACATGAAATTTGAACACGCGACAACTACCACCTTGAAATACATACAAGTGAATTCCCAGTACTAGTTATTTCTAAATACACATCTGGTAAACAAGTCAGTGAACATGACACAGTCCCTGTTGGTGCTGGTCTTTTATGAGCTAGATACACCCCTCCTCCCCCACACACACACAAAAAAAAGGTGGATTATACATGTACATGTATGTGTGAATTTGGACCTAATTGAACAGCTTTTATCAAGTACAATTTGGCAAAAAAAATGAAAAATAGACAAAAAATGCATCTTTGTGAAAGACCACATTGACTCTGTAAGCAGTCTGAATAAACTTAGTTATGAACAAAATTGATCGAAAATAATTTTGTTTTGACATACAAAATGGCTGCCAGTCTATTAAAGCAATAATGAATGTTCCTCAGTGAGCAACCAGGTGTTACCAATATTCTAAGTTTTAACAGAATCAGACAGCAAATATATAAAATATGCTTTTTAGGCTACATGTAAATGTCAAATACGCACATACATGTATCAATCAATTTTTATATTTCATGTACTTTTATTATTTACTTTATTAATCTGAAAACCTAAAAGGAAATGTTAACTCTTTCTTTACGGTATTAATAAAGCATTATTCTATTCTATTCTATTCTGTATAGCTGAACATTCTCATGTTGTATAAAATAAATCACACATAAATCAGTTGGACATATTGAATCAAATAATAAAATGAAACATACCAAAATCAGTTAAGGATGTACCGTAGAAATCATATTTGAGGCCGCAGCTTTAATAGAAGCCGCACCCCTAACTTGAGATAATGTTTCATGTTTAAGTTTTGATCCCAGGAAAAAGTCTGCAATACAAGCCGCACCCCAAACTTTCACAAACCGAACAGACACCACATATTTCAGAAAAAGATATACCATTTAATTTTAAATTAAGGCATAATTTTTCAAACATTTCAATCTTCTTGACGCCTAGATTAGAGTCTAATTTAGGTTTTCTGTAGTCATTGACGCCTATTCGAGAGTACAGTGTTTATTATGGGTAGCGTGAATGGGTAAAGTGTGTTTCGACAATGAGCTGTTAATATCGTCAAAAGTGTTAAATTCTTCTTCAATGCTCAGCTTATCTTTCAAAAACAACTAATTTCTTAATTTAAAAAAAAATCATGCCATTTTCCCATCAAAATCAAAGCCAAACGATGGCACTACAACAATGGTAAATCTCTTCTGTGTGCATTCACCATGAAGTTGAATACATATTTAAATGAGCTATGGTAATTTAAACACGTTGGCACCATCCAGCGTTTCAAGTGGTTAATTAGCGACTTGACCTATCAGGTCAAAAAACAGTTTCAAGTCACTGAACATGGCGGATATCGTATCGGATCGAGCATTTTCTTGTGACCGAAATCATTCGTTTGCGGTGAAGCTAAGTTGAATTTTCACGACAATTCAACGAATTTATTTTTTGTATGTTATTGTAATCACTTCGAAAACAAGTAAGATATTCACTTGTGTGAAAGCAGCATGACCGGCTGGATTGCGATACCGTACCGTGATCATTTGCTACTAAGAATGCATTCGTTTTTTTTTACTTCTTTTAGAATATACTTAAAAAAAATAAGGAAATAAATACATATTACATTAAATATTTATTTGTTATCATGTGAACATTTTTTTTTTGATTGACTGTAATTTTCCCCAATGTCTAAATTAGAAAATGGAAGGTACAGTCACAACATGCCAGTAGTCGGACACAATTGACTGTGTCAGACAACTGTCTCTCAATTGTGAGCACTAACAAATTAGAGTGACGTCAAGAGATTATAGTATACAGTACCGTAATCTGCAAATGCGTACAAATCTATATGTAGATATTATTTATTGTGCACTATGTTATACAGTGTGAAATTTCGTTTGTGTACAAGTTTGTCTGTGTGTAAAAATCCGAAAGTGCGCTTAGAATTGCAACAAAGTTGCAATCGAGTGTCGTGCATCTCATTAGCATATCATTATCCCTTCTGGCCTTTGTTTTCTGAGAAAAATTTCCCACTGTTACCGAAGTGAATGCTCTAATTAAAGTCGCACCAAGACTTCACGCATCTGAATTTGCCCATTGAAAAAATGAATTTTAATTAAAGCAGCGGCCTCAAATAGGAATTTCATGGTAGTAGTTTTTTTTTGGAACATGTAAATCAAAATAAACTTTTCATATTTTATAAGTTAATCTAATTATTCTACGAAAATTTCAGACCTATATCATAAATGGAACATACTTAAAACCGTGGTCAAACTTCACAACCCACATTGTTGCGATGACTAAATTTGCACATTCCTATGTATTTTAAATAATTAATCACACAGTCAAGTATGAAATAGTGTTAGAACATCTTTAGATGTTTACCAGTTATCTATAATTTAACAGGCATCAAAGCTTTAGTCACAGAAGATTTCATGACCAGTTAAAAAAAATACAATGTAATGCAGCAACTTCATTATTCATCTATTGATATGCAAATGAGCAAATATTTTTGTTTTAATTTAGACATAAAAATGGATGTATTTATAAAAATAACAGTCATAGCATTTTTTTTTAAGTTCACATGTTCTAAAGATTTCTCTATTGTTTTGTGAAATTGCAAAAATATAAATTTGAAAGAAAAAGGAAAGTTATCCATCACTGTGACTGATTGTCATTGTGTTGTCCCTTTCTATTTCTTCACAGTACCCATTTGAATCTTCAATAAATAATTTATTTATTTAGCAGTCACATGGCCACATGAAGGTTGTATCTAATGTAGCATCAATTTTTAGTTAGTATGAATTGTGAGCTTTCATAAAATACAGTTTGATATGGTTTAACACAATTCTATGAGAATAATTACTGTAAAATACTTTTAAGGGATGATTCAGTAAAAATAAAATCCAGTGAATAAACTTTTGTTCCTATATTATTCCTATATTCAACTCGTCAAAAATCAGTTAAAAAATAAATTCCATACAATTCCAGTCTTTTTCAGTGAAAATTAATTCCGGCTAAAATAAAGTGTTTTACAGTAGCGTGAATTTTACTTCCTGAAAACATCTACTACATCCTTAAAGGATGTCTGAGAAATGGTTAAGGACATGTGAAAATAACATACTAGTAATAACCAACATGACCACCAGTCTGCCAGTTTGAATAAAATCAC